CTTGTGTCTGGTCTTGTGTCTGGTCTTGTGTCTGGTCTTGTGTCTGGTCTTGTGTCTGGTCTTGTGTCTGGTCTTGTGTCTGGCCTTGTGTCTGGTCTTGTGTCTGGCCTTGTGTCTGGTCTTGACTACAACGCTGTATATCGGTTTTGCCAATGGTGCACCACACGACCTCGCATCTCATTTACATGTAGTCATGAGTCATGATGCAATAAGTTCAAATGAACCACGATGAAAGCATGCGCCTGTTCCCGCTGCTCTTTGTGACTGGACCTCTGACTGCCCCTGGTCTTGTGCAGGATGTGACTGTAGCCCTAGTTTTTCAACTACACGTAGCCTAAACCTTTCGAGTTCATATGTACATGTCCGTGACGAAGCCGCTTTCTGAAACAGTCTTGTTTCCTAGATCTCAGTTGGCGGAGCCTAAACAGACCTTAATAACAAGAAGCCATTTTTTATCATGTTCCTTGCCTTTGTCCTGTTGGATGCAATCTGTTAACAGGGGCAGTGCCAGAATATTTTAGGCTTCAAGCCCTACTTTTCTGTTGTTTGAACGTGAGCTCAAAATATTTAAATGTAATAAATCACAAATTTTAGATTTTTCATCCGCATAAATGATATTGATTTGTAGTGAAGATTTCCGTCAGTGCTTTCATTGTAATTCTCGGTTGCAAAAACTAGTAAACCTCACTTTCAAATTTAATATGGCCGACTTGTGAAGGAGGCCAATTGTACCTGTACATCTGGATGTGATTCATTCTCATGGAACCCAACAAGATATCCATGCATGTATGTATGTGTATTGTCACCTTTGATGAGACTTAACAATTGCAGTTGTTATATATTAAAATCGACCACTTTGCCTGTCTTGTGTTTTGTCGGATAAAAGGAGGCGGCCCAGGAAGGATGTCCCTTACCACTACTACGATCTTCCCCACATTAAGGAGTGCTCTACTTACCGCCACGCCGAGCGAGATAAAAAGGGCAACCACCGCTTCCTTCGGGAGAAGGTTGTGTTTGCTCGCTGGGCCCAGCGCTACAACATCACCTTCCACCACCCCAGCTGGCCCATGAAATTTGACGCCCGCTTGTTTCACAACGCTGGCCTGTTGGAAACTATTCTCCAGTGGATAAGGTCATAAGCTTTTTTTTTTTTTAAAGTGACTGAAATATTCTTCAACCCAGGGATTAGCCCCCAAAACTTAAAGGGTGTTTGTAGTGAAATTTATTTTTGAACAAACCTTCAGAACCCTCCTTTTTTGTTTTGTCCATTAAATATCATTATTCAATTTTTGTTCCACTCTTTCAAAGGGTAATTTGCTGCCTTTTTGGCTTTCATGCTAATGCGTATTTCCTCACGAGCAAAACTCGGATGTCGTTCGAGGGAAAAACTCGTTGGTGAACAATTAAATTAAAAAGACTAATTTTGCTGACTTAATTTTCTTTCCTTTGGTGAGTGATTGTCGTTTGTAAGTAGCAATCAGCAAGCAATGACCCTTTCTCAGAAATGGTCTAAGTGAGTTCATCTTTCAACTCCTAGTTTGGACAAAACCCCTCAGCACTGAACCATGCCTTCCTTAGATGACATCACAATTATCGAGGAACGCATGGAGAATATTTTATAATGTTTGAAAAAGCGCTTTCCTAAATGCATTTAACTTAATGGGGATGCCATTAAAGTAGTTGAGGAGAAATGCTAAAGTACAGAAACAAGGTCAGAAAAATTCATTGCTGCTTCACTTAAGAACTGGAAAAACGTCTTTCGGTCCTCTCAAAGAATCAATATTGTGGCCGTTCATTGTAAATGTAGACAGCCCACTTCCTGCTGGCAGAGAAGTTGGTGGAATTTTTAAATGTATGCGTGACATTAAACCTACATTGTAAGATGCACTTGTAGAATTGCACCACTAGAGAGATCTTTGTGTTCAATACAGATAGTTGTGGAATCTTTTGGTGGTAGGGAGACTTGGTGGAAGGTTTGTAATCAAAGTGTGATAACTGAAATTTCAGTTTAACCCTAACCTCCTAGGGCCTATTGATATCATGGACATGCTTATTGGATTCAGAATGGTTGAGGTTAATGAACTGAATCCTTGCTGTACTCATTTCTGGTATGAATTCTGTAAAATTGTTACCAGTTGACAAGTCAAGCCTGCTCTTTATAACAGTTTTTATAACACATGACTAGTATAGGTGTCCTTTTACACAGGTAGCCTGGTTCTATGCTACAGGGTATTTAATAATGAATTCTGTTAAATGAGGAACCAGACAGGCGTGCAGTAACGTGTACATGTTTAATTAATTGCCTTGCAATTACTTTAATTGATTTAGTTTTGTTTTCGATATGCAACTGTGTAATATTAAGAACAGGCATACAAAGATATTTTAGGGATGGTAGTAAAATTAAATGGTTAAGTTCAGCTAGCCGATTCGCTCACTTTCCTGTAAGTATTTTCCTAATTATATTTCATTATTTTCAAATGATTTTATGATGTTTCTGTAAATCTGCCTTTTATATATTTTTTCCTTGAAAAACATTAATTTTATGCAGTTAAAATACAAATGGTGACGGTTGGTAAATCAGAAATCAGTGCAACTGGTAAGTAGTAATTAACTTGATCTGTAAGAAATCCTGCTTGGAAATAGTTGTATTCAATACGTGAATTCCAAATCCTATTGGCCAAAGTACATCTCAAGGAATTTAAAATTTATGTTTATATAAGATGTGAATAATTATGAAGTTGAATTTGTAATTTTTAAGCATTACTGTATGTAAATTAATAGCTCTCCGTCGAAATATAGCCATTGACACGAAATACCGTCGAAATAACGTCGTCCAGTTGGCGCATGGACACCGTTGATAAGCTATTTAATAGGAATGCACTGGTCATCTCTATGAATCAACGGACTCAACTAGACCCTATTCATGTGGAGACCATTTTTTAATCTTATTCCCCAAATTTGTTTTATATATTGATATATTGCAAACCGTCGATTAGAATGGCACCAGACTGTTTTACACTTCCGCGCGTTCTAAGCCTCCATTTCAATATTTTTCTAAACCTGGTTTCAAACACCGAGGTACGTTTTTGTGTGTGAAATCATCAGTTTGATGTTCTTCAGCAGAGTAGACAGGTGCAAACTTGTCATGAATTTTCATTTTATTGCTTCATTTGTACTCTCAACGTTCAAAAATAAAGAGTCAACCTCGATTTCAAATTCAATATGGCCGACCCCGTGAATGCAGTCTATTACTGGCTCCTTAAGCACAGCTGTCTGTGGACTTTGCATGCACTGCCCTGCTGATAAAGAGCTGCACGTAGATATCGAACAAAGACCACATCGCCATTGTGGAAAATGAATGATCCCTGAAAAGAGAGAGCGGGACATTATACACTCAAAGCATGCAACTCTAAAAATAGATTTGGGGAAAACTGATGGGAAAAATTGCGTCCTCGTGAATAAGGCCTATTGTAGGCCTACGGAGTTCTGCTAGTGTCACCTTCATATTTGAGATCCTGAATATTTTATTCTAGGATGTCGCCATCCTGTTTCACATATTATTTCGACAACCAGTTATCTCCAGTTTTTGGCATCTTGTCTGTAAGGCTTCCGCATCTGAAATGAAGTATGTTTTAATCTAAATTAATTGTCACTTCCACGGCTCCGTAAACTGGGAATTTCCCGAGTAAATGTTATGTTCGCCACGATTCGCGTCTCACGGCCGTTTGAGTTTGAATAGTGTGAGTTGAATTGTACTGAACGTAGTGTTCAACGCTGTTTGTTTTTTATCTCCATTTGAATCGACTCTGCGATATTTCGTCTATAAAGCGGTGGTAGACAAATACAACTCTAGGTCCGGCAGAAACTGGAGTAAGGTTGTCCACTTCAAAGAATGGGGCATATTGGGCTCAGCAAGGGTAAGATTTCTCTACACGTCGCGAGTTCTCTGTAAGCTTGGAATGTCATGAAGCAGATTGGTAGCTCATGGCCGAGGGTAGAGTGGCTCCAATCAAACGCAGCTGTACGCGAGGTAGAGGAAAATTGGTGGAAGTGATCTCTTAGCCAGTTTTATTTCCATTTTCAACCTACTGCATGGTCGACAGACGCAAACAAATACGTACTGATTATCATGGACGTTGCGAAGGGGGGGGGTAATCACAGATTTATTTGAAAGCATTTGGGAATGCCAAAAATTCCCCAGTGACACCTATAATCGCGCTGCAGTTTTGCCCGATTATTACAATCCTTTCAAAATTTGGCATCGAAGAACTTGCCGTGGAATATCCGCCGCAGTGAGGGGAGAACAGTTGAAAGCATAGCTCTTAAGGTTCGCCACAACCGATAACTGCTTTATTTTCTAAATAGTCAGCTGAGGATTATCTAAAACGTGCACCTCGTGGTTTGTTCCTCATGAGCGCTCTCCCTGGCCCCGGAAAGCCTGTCCAATACATACTATAGTAACGCCAACAAATGCATCCCTGCCTCCTTCACAGGAAATCCCTTTGGAGTGAGCATGGAAGCTCGTTTAGTGATCATGTTCATTGCACTGGGACTGTATACGGTGCAAACCAACGTGTGCCCTCCGGAGTATGGTAAGAACTACTGAAATATGTTGCAGAAAGATCCAATTAATGTTGCACTGCAAGTTAAAAATTTAAAGTGGCAACGCGACATAGGTGTCATCACCTGTGCCTATTTTAGTATTATGAAGCAACCTCAAAAGCTCAATAACCTGAAGAAACTCCTTTAAATCAACCACGTTTTTGATTTGAGGGGTAGATGTCTTTCATCAATGATGTTGCTTTCATCACACAAAGCCGTAAAAACTCACTCTGAAAGACAAAACTCCTTTAAACCATTGGAAACCCATAACATTGTGTCGAAAACGAAACAAAGGGGCTCAAAGTCCTAGTATATTTCGAACTTGGACCGGTTCTGTCAACAACTAAAGTTTTGGCTGCGTTATATCATGTTCCTTGTCCCTCTCCACTTGGAGATAAATGCATTCCCCAATGCAACAGGCTTTTGCGAGTTAAAATTTGAATACGCTCTGATGTTCCGAGTTCTTTCAATTCACAAGAACATAACAATTTGAATCTTGCCAAAGACACTGTTACTGTATCTCGTGATTCGGAGCGAATGTTGGCCTAGTTAAATAAGACACGCCTTGTAACAACGCACTGTTTTAAAGGATAAGACGGGCACAGAGGAACCAGTCCATTCCAAAGATGATGGTCGCGCATGTGCAGCAAGGTATGAGAACG